AACAGCCCTGTTGACCCTGCAAAGTCCTCCTCACTAACATCTGGGGGTTAGTGCCAAAATTGGGAGAAACTGTCTCACAGAATAGTCAAGCAACAGCCTGACATAGTCATACTCACAGAATCATACCTTACAGACAATGACCAACATCACCATCCCTGGATATGTCCTGTCCCACCGGTAGGACAGACCCAGCAGAGGTGATGACACAGTGGTATACAGTCGGGAGGGAGTTACTCCAGGAGTCGTCAACATTGACTCTGGACCCCATGAAGTTTCATGGCTTCAGGTTGAACATGGGCAAGGAAACCTCCTGCTGATTACCACATACCTTCCTCCCTCAGCTGATGAAACGGTACTCCTCCATGTTGAACAACACTTCGAGGAAGCACTGAGGATGGCAAGGGCACAAAATGTACTCGGGGTGGGGGATCTCAATGTCCACCACCAAGAGTGGCTCGGCAGCAGTACTACTGATCGAGCTGGTCAGGTCCTATAGGACATAGCTGCTAGACTGGGTCTGGGGCAGATGGTGAGGGAAACAACAAGAGGGAAAAACATACTTGACCTCATCCTTACCAATCTGCCAGCTGCAGTTGCATCTGTCCATGACAGTATCGGTAAGAGTGACCATCGCACAGTCCTTGTGGAGACAAAGTCCCCCCTCACATCAAGAATAACTTCCATCGTGTTGGTGCCAAAATTGGGAGAGCTGTCTCACAGACTAGTTAAGCAACAGCCTGACATAGTCGTACTTGCAGAGTCATACCTTACAGACAATGTCCCAGACACCACCATCACCATCCTGGGATACGTCCTGTCCCACCGGTAGTGTCCCACTATCACCGTGTTAAATAGGACAGACTTTGCACAGATCTAGCGACTCAAGCCTGGGCATCCATGAGGCACTGTGGGGGGCCATCAACAGCAGCAGAATTGTACTCCAGCACAATCTGTAACCTCATGGTCCGGCATATCCCCAACTCAACCATTACCATCAAGCCAGGGGATCAACCCTGGTTCAATGGAGTGTGCAGGAGGGCATGCCAGGAGCAGCACCAAACATACCTGAAGATGAAGTATCAACCTGGGAAAGCTTGCAAACATGAACACTTGCACGCCAAACAGCGAAAGCAGCAAATGAGAAACCAAGCTAAGCGATCCCACAACCAATGAATCAGATCACTGAATCCCCAAATAATCAACATCCTGGGTGTTATCATTGACCAGAAACTCAACTGAACTCACCACATAAACCCAGTGGCTGCAAGACCAGGCCAGAAGTTAGGAATACTGCGGCGAGTATCTCACTTCCTGACTCCTCAAAGTCTGTCCACCATCTACAACGTACAAGTCAGGAGTGTGATGGAATACTCCCCACTTGCCTGGATGAGTGCAGCCCCAACAACAGTCAAGAAGCTTGACACCATCCAGGACACAACAGCCCACTTGATTGGCACTACATCCACAAACATTCACTCCCTCCACCACCGACGCTCAGTAGCAGCAGTGTGTATTATCTACAAGATGCACTGCAGAAATTCACCAAAGATCCTCAGACAGCACCTTCCAAACCCATGACCACTTCCATCTAGAAGGACAAGGGAAGCAGACATATGGGAACACCACCATCTCCAAGTTCCCCTCCAAGCCATTCACCATCCTGACTGGGAAATATATCACCGTTCCTTCACTGTCACTGGGTCAAGATTCTGGAATTCCCTCCCTCATAGCACTGTGGGTCAACCCACAGCAGGTGGACTGCAACAGTTCAAGAAGGCAGCTCACCACCACCTTCTCAAGGGCAACTAGGGATGGGCAAGAATTGCTGGCTCAGCCAGCAATGCCCATGTCCCAGAAATGAGTGAAAAAAAATCAATTTGTTGGCAAGTCAGAACGCAATGCAGAACTATGTAAAATAGCTGTTCGTAAGTACAGGGATTGTTTGTATGTCATATATTGAAAATTACACTCCTGTATGGGATCGCATTCATAAGAAGAGCATCCATAAGTCAGACATTCATAAACCATAGACCCCTGTACCTCGTTGCTAAACTATAATACGTCACAATTTTTTAAGACAGGAGCTACTTCTGATTAGGCAAGCAAGTGATTTACCTGTATCAGACCGGAGTAATCGGGCACAATAGAATCAGTACCTTTAAATCAAAATGGCAGTAGATTGGTAAGCAATGATGTAGGCTGCCCCATGTAAGATGGCAGTCAGTGATAAAAATTAATGGCTAACACATAGGGTCCACTGCCTATTGTTTCCTCAGAGCTGTGTATTCTCACAGGTACCAAACTGTCTTGTGTAGACTGTACACAAGTTGGCATCTTTAAGTTGCCGTGCAATTTTTTTTTAAAGCGACCAGGCATTGAAACAAATTACTGCATACTCCAATAAAATGAATTATGGCTGACATTAGATCTGGCAGTAGTTTATTGTTCTACCCATTCTTTATTTAAAAGAAATGCTTAAGTCATACTTTTCCAACACATTATTTAGGATGGCATGGAGTAGCAGTGGTTTATAACATAGATGCATTTAAGGGGAAGCGAGAAAAGCACATAAGGGAGAAAGAACTAAAAGGAGTAGGTGGGAAGAGGTTCTGTGAGTAGGTGGGAGGAATATAAACATTGAAAGGGACCTATTGATAAGAGTGGTTTCTTTGCTCTAAATTCAACATTTATTAATGAAATTCTAGAATGTTTATGTTTATGACCACTTTACTGCCAGAAAAATTTATGTAGAGATCCAGGACATCAAATGTAGCTTGCAAAGAAAAGAAATAAGAAAAAAAAATCACTTTAGAAATTCACCACAAAATACTGAGTACCTAAACTTTTTGGCCTAAGTTTAAGCCCATTCAGAACTATTGTAAATGCAAGTAAATCACAGTCTCGTGTCTGCGCATACAGGGGCTGAATAATGTTGATAATTGGTAGAAGGTTTCAATGAAAGTTTCATGAAAAGCAACAAAAATCAAGATATTGAGGTGGAGTGTAAAAATGATTCATTTTCTCTTACATCCTTTTGCTTCAGAATTCTTTGGGATGAATTATTTCCATGGATAGATTTGAGGGCTGTTTCTTAACAGATGGCCCAATGGAAATGGTAAGAATATCAGGATTAGATAGTGTGTATGAATGTATCATCTTGCTCTTTATTTGTTACCATATTTGCTCAACCTTACACTGAGTGAGCCAAAAGCCCACTTAAATCAGGCAAGTGCATTAAAAGTTTATGGAAGTCCAGTCGCTCCTTCAAATAAAAGATGCATACAATTTGAAGGGACAACTGAAATCTGCTTACACACTCTGCCGTTTATAAAAAGGAAGCATTTGCATGGTTTAGGAAACTGAAATCCAGCAAAGCCCTTGAGGAATATAAAGGAAGCAGGAAAGAACTTAAACAAGGAATTAGGAGGGCTAAAAAAGACCATGTCTTTGGCAAGAAGGATTAAGGAGAATTCCATGGCATTTTATACATATATTGGGAGCAAAAGGGTAGATAGGGAAATGGTAAGATCACTTACTTTATGCTTGGAGCTGTAGGAAGTGGATGAGAACCTTAATGAGTACTTTGTATCAGTACTGACCGAAGAGAGGAACATGGATGATAGTAAGAAGAGGGAGAGGTATTTTGATATTCTAGGAGTTGTTGATTGTGTTCTACATTCCATGTTCTATTTAATTGTTTTACAAAAGAAACAAATGCAAAGTTATAAAGAACTTTTTCAGGTTGTGAGTTAGTGTAAGAAATGCACTGTTTTGAAGTGTGTAGGAGGCAGGATCAATCAAGGCATTCAGGAAGTTCCGGGGTGACTCCGGCCCCAGGCTCGCAAACTGGGCCAAGGCTCCAGGTCCACAGCTAGGCCCAGGTGTCTAAAGGAGTAGAAGCATCGGCAAAAGAAACGGATGGTGAATTGGCGGCAGCATTTGGAGGAGCGTCAGATGAGGATCAGGAGATACTGCTTCCACAGACCCATGGCTTCAGCTAGCATGCGCAAATGACGGCAGTCGCAGGAGTGGAAGTGGTGGAGGCCCGTAACCAAGAACTCAGAGCCCATTATAGATACCCAGCAGAGACTGGAGGAGCAGCAGAGGACGAGCAAGAAAAAGAAAGAAAGATGAACTCTAATACAGTAAGTAATACAGTGTGGAGCTGGAGGAACACAGCAGGCCAGGCAACATCAGAGGAGCAGGAAAGCTAATGTTTCGGGTCGGGACCCTTCTTCAGTGTTTCAGTGTTTCAAGATGGCGTCAGTGCATTGCTACACTTTGTGTATAACACACGAAAGCACTTTTCACTGGATTTTTAATATACATATGACAATAAATCTAAATCTAAAATGATGAGCAGGGTTATCTGGAAAAGGCTGGAGATTGGCACAGAGTTAAAATACTCAGAGAGCCAGTACAGACATGATGGACTGAATGGTTTCCTTCTACACCTTAACAACTCAATGCTTCTCTGATACAGATCACTGTTTCCCTGGGCTCCACCTCTTCCACAAACACAACTCCTTCTACACTTCTGGCTATATGTATCATCATGCCTACCAGATCAGCCTGAAGACCACCCAATACACAGCAGGAAGTGAGCTGCAGTATATGGCACACACTTGGGGCAACCACCTCTCCAAAGGCATGGGAATGAACTGGGACCTTCAAGAACGATTGGACCTCTGGATATCTAGATGAGGGAGCTGGCCCACATTCTCCATCAACTGACAGCCCGAGAGTAAAAACGCTATATTGCCAAAGCAAAGACATATCTGATGCAAGAAGAGATCTCCAGATCTGAAATTATTCATCAGCACTCACATTTCTAAAGCAAAAATGCTTCAAGTTAAAATTAAAACCTATAAAATGGCGAGAGTATCATTACTCAAATTGGCTTGAGTAATGCAGAATTATTGATATCATAGCAATTATTCTGAAATATACTTTCTCTTCTGAATTCAAAATGTGATGTGATTTTTTTGTGCTTTATTTAGGTAACCTTCTTCTTCAGACATCCCAGGCTTTTAATGTTGATATGTTAGGAGCCAAGACGTTCTCAGGCCCTCGAGATGTTCAGTTTGGCACTTCCATTCAGCAGTATTCCAACTCTGATGGGCAATGGTAAGGTAAAATTTATTCTAACATGCATTTTGAGAACACTGTAATGGAAAATGGTTCACCACCTATACAATGTTCAATTTGGGCACTGTTAATATAGCAGAAGAATGGGTGACTTCTTCAATGTACGTCAGCATATTTTATCATTCTGAAGAAAATCACTTGTTGATATGTAACGGAAATACAAATCAGAAGTGATACTTTTCTGTGATTTTAATTTTTCTGCTTTTTCTGTTAAAAAAAAAGAGCTTGTAAAAAATATCCTTCTGATCGTGGCACTTAAACAGACCTTATCCATCCTTACAGAGAGTTTATGTTTACTTCATCAGTTTGTGATTCCCACACTATACGTTAAAGCTCTGCAAACAGCCGGAATAGAGATTTTTGAATGTACCACTAAACTGAAATGGACCTGCTGAATTGGGGTTTCCATCCTGTAGTGTCCACTTGCCCCTATCAGCAAAACTTGAATCTGTCAGGAATGGGGGCCAGACTTCTGTTCCTAGTCCCACCCACTATATTGAATGGTTCATCAGGTCTTCCCAAATCAGCAAAAATATGGCCTTCAGTAAAAAGATAGGATAACCTGATAACTGCTCAAGAAAACTTGCAGCAGAATCTCAACTGAACAGACACCGAGACAGTAGGGAGACCAGCGAAGATTGGAAAGTCAGTTGTTGTTGAATCAGGCTTAGATTCTTAAGGTTTCAGAAACTACAGGAATGGAAAGAAGATCTAGATGGTGCCCCACCCACCCTACATGTCTATTGCTCTTTCCTACAGGCTTAGCTGTGGGATCTGAGAGATTGAAATTTGGATAAATTGTTCATCTGGATAACTTGTTCAATGGATCAAGTACCTCAGACCTCTAGTGGTCATCACCTTGACAACCACTGGCAATGTGTGCTCACTTGGGTCAGGAGAATGCAGATGTTGGCAATGTCTTACCTTGAAAATCTGCATTTCCTTGGGAGCTGCCGCTCAGATGGACCAAGACCTCTGCCTGCAGACCTTGGCTTAGGAGGTTCATTTCCTTCATGCTGAATCTCTTTTTCTCCCTTCATATTCCTGTGGAATGGTATATGGATGAAGAGGAGACTGCTGCTGCTGGCATTGATGGTCTTATGGTATTGCTGCTTCTGCTTCACTTGTTCTTTATCAATGATCCAAGTTTAGAACTGCATAGGCTGATCCCATACAGTGGTGAAGGCTGATAACAGTTCAAGACAAGTGTCCTGAATTTCAAGAATATGGTTAAGCACATTCTCAAAATGTGGTCTGTGAGAACCAGCTTCTCAGCACAGGTTGAAGAAGGGTCTAGGCCTGAAATGTCAGCCTTCCTGCTCCTCTGATGCTGCTTGGCCTGCTGTGTTCATCCAGCTCTACAGCTTGGTATCTTTGATTCCAGCAATGTTGGCTTTACTGTTTGCAGACCTCCCAACCTGTCATTTTCACAAAAGAAGAACACTTTGCTGTGTTCTTGCCTAGTTGGACCTGGCAACCTGTACACAGCTCAGGAAACCTGTGAGCTGGCTATTAAAATCAGAAATCCTGAGAGATCTGCATCTTCCCATATATTGATTATGGAGATTTCCCATTCAGCTTCAAAATGTTCAGGTTAAACCCAAAAGGATCATGTCGAGTTCTGACTTGAGGCTACTTATCAGAGATTTAAACATCCCCCCTCAACCCTGCTTGAATCCCAACCCAAACCTTTTAGCAGTTAAAATTCTGCCCTTGGGTTGTCAACAGTTCCCAATAGATAATTCATATCTTTCTATCTATGTTTAAGAAGATTGTTTACTGTATTTTCTGTCAAGTAATGGGAGTTCAGCAGTGTTCATTCTGTTTCAGTCTTTGACCATGGTAAGGATATGATACTGTGGCTATATCCAGTTGAGCTAAGCCACAAGACTCAAAAGCAAGCCAAATTGCTATTCAGATTAAATAATGAAATCATGATTCTTTGTGAGTAGTGCAAAGTTCTCTTGCTGGAGCTCATGGTGCTTCTTTGGCTGATCCACAAAGTTCTAATACAAAACCCTGGTAAACAGTAAACAAGAACCTAGATATTATCCAAGCTGTGCGCCATGTTATTTTACAATGATTGTCCAAATCTAAAAGTCTTTGCTTTAAGAAACAACAAAATACATTGGTACTTTGATTCCTATGACTCCATGTTCTCCTGTGCAAATTCATGCAGCAGAAACTTTCAACATTAAACAGATAGTCCTCTTTAAGAAAATAACATTGACTGAAAATCAGTAACTGAATCCAAAATTCTGTCCTAAAACTAGCCTAACTAATTAACTCTAGCCAGGCTGCACCTAAACCTAAACCTTAGGTCAATGCTTGACCAAAATCTAGTTCTAAACTGAATTAAACCCAAATCTAACTCTGAAACTAAAACTCCAACTCCAAACATTTTGTTGCAATCTTACTACCAGGGATTCCCAAACAGTCTACTTTCTCAGGAATTACTGAAGGTTATAATAGTTTCATTCTTACGGACATTTGACTTCAAAATTTGGGTGCAAAACCACTGCTAATGTCCAGGAAAGGACACGCAGATGAGGTGTTGCACACATGTTAAATTCTGAAGTGAAAGTATTAAGTAGGCAAAATACTTTGAATGCTGGAAATCTGAAACAAACACAGAGAATGCTGGAGAAACTCAGCAGGTCTGTTAGCATCCGTGGAGAAGATTCATACCAGGCTTGAAACATTAACATTTTCCCTCTCCTCAGATGCTGCCAGATGTGCTGAGTTACTCCAGCATTCTTGTTTAAATGCATATAGCTGGTGTAACCTGGTGTCGCTGCTGAAGCCACATTCTATTTTAGGAGTCAATTCTTTCAGTCAATGAACTACTGGCAGCTTTCAACTTATAATCAGGGGAACAAAACAGAGAAGGATGACTTTTAAAATTAAGTTTCTACTTACCATATCAAGTGCAATATGCACAAATATTGCGCTATAATTCATCTGCATCAATTGCTTACCGTAAAAAAATGTTCTCATTTGCTGGAAAGTGTTTAATGTATATGAATAATTCCATATATTACAAATAAATATAGATGGTTTCTTTTGGAACATCATACACAATGTTGTACATTAGAAATCAACAGAAATAACTGAATTCACCAATCACTCAAATTACCTGATTTGTTCCTGATATCTGTTGGCTATGTTAGAAATTAGAAGTACCAGTATAACAATCTGCAAATAGAAAGTGACAGATCAGGGTACCATTGTTTTGCAGAATGGTCATTCATCAGTAGTAAAACCATGGAACATTCACGGTGGTGCGATAACAATACAACTGAGCTTCTCCAGAATATTACTCCATAGTATCCTTTGACGAGGATGCTGCAGAATCCTGTTCATTGAATTCAAACTTTGATTCAGGTACCTGTGGGGACCTCTAATGTTTACTGCATTCCCCAATTCCTTGATAAAGCCTGCAGCCCACATCCATTGTGATTTTTCTCACACTAATTTTGGAGAATTTTCAAGTATTTAACCATGTAGATTTACTCCGGTATCTTAGCAACCAAGTTCCATTGCTTATTATCTGTTGATACGATTGATATGTTCCCAGCCAATGGCAAAACTGGACCATTCAGATTCCAAAGTGAAACCTGGCTTGGTTACTATAAGATTTTTTTGCAATTTGTTTACTTCGGTAACTCCTTGTCACTGAATGTACTGATGAGAGGCTACGAATGTGCTTTTAACAAAAGAATATCAAAGTTTATTATGAACTAAAAGAAATAATTTTAATTTTTAATAAAATTAATAATAATTTTTTAATAAAAAGGAACAATGTTAACATCATATAAGAAGTATTTGAAATAATTCTTTATTAATATCAGAAATAGAGATTCAGTCCTTTTACCCTCAACAATGACCTTACAAATAGTCAAGCCTCTCTGTGTTCACTTTAAAGTTTCTTGTTGAGTTGGCACAAGTGCACTCTGTTTCTTTTTGGCAAATGTCTGCATTCACTCAATTCTATGTTCTTTAGTTAATGTCTCTTCATGAGACTCTTAAACATACCACTAACACAACTCACTTACTCCTTAATATGTGATTCTTAAATTCATGCTTTCCGTAGTGTTCTGTTATGTCATCCTCTCTATGATGGTAAAGTCTTCTTATCTCTTACTAACTAAGTTTGATCTCAATGGTGGTGAAACTATTAGAAACAATTCAGAGGGACAAAACAGCTACGTTCTGCTTGCAAAAGAGACTCTGAGCTGTTGCCTACCACTTTAACACACCACCCTGTTCCCTGGCCAACATCTCTGTCTCAGGCTTGCTGCAGTGTTCCAGCGAAGCTCAATGCAAGCTGGAAGAGCAACACCTCATTTTCTACTTGGGGACCCTGCAGCCCTCTGGACTCAATGTCGAGTTCAATAATTTTAGGGCCTAAACTCTCCCATGTCTCAGACCTCTACCCCCACACACCAGGCCTTGTTATCACATAGCCTGCCATTACACACTACCTATTGTTAATCACTAACAATCCCTATTAACAGCTATTCATCCTCCTAGTCAGATCGTTATCAACTCCTTTGTCTACCTAACACTCTTCTCTCTCATCAGGCTCTATCCTATCATTTATTCCCTACCCCATCCCCCTCCCTATTTTCTGCATATAAAGCAAAGTTTTCCCAGCTACGATCAGTTCTGAAGAAGGGTCACCAGACCTGAAACGTTAACTCCAATTTTTTCTTCACTGATGCTGCCAGACCTGCTGAGCTTTTCCAGCAACTTCTGTTCTTGTTCCTGATTTACAGCATCTGCAGTTCTTTCAGTTTTTATTCACAATACTCCAGCTATGGCCTAATCAAAGTTGTGTACAGCTCCAATATGACCTCTCTACTCTTATAATCGACGATACGACTGGTAAAGTCAAGAGTCTCATATGCCTCATTAACTACTGTCTTAATCTGTCCTGCTGCTTTCAGGGATCTCTGGGCAAGCATGTCAAGATCCCT